GGTTCAGGCGATTCCCCTACCTCAGCCTCCTGAGTAGCTGGGATTACAGGCACGCGCCACCATGCCCAGCTGATTTTTTGTATTTTTAGTAGAGACAGGGTTTCACCATGTTAACCAGGATGGTCTCGATCTCTTGACCTTGTGATCCACCCGCCTCGGCCTCCCAAAGTGCTGGGATTACAGGCGTGAGCCACCGCGCCCGGCCTTATTACAGCTTTTATAAAAACACAGGACAGGCACAGAGGCTCATGCTTGTAATTCTACCACCTTGGGAAGCTGAGACAGGAGGATCACTTGAGCCCAAGAGTTCAAGACCAGCTCTGGCAACATAGTGAGACCTGTCTTTATAAAAAGAAAAAAAAAATTAAAATTAGTAGTCATAGTGGCATGTGGTGCCTGTAGCCACAGCTACTTAGGAAGCTGAGGTAATAGAATGCTTGAGCCCAAGAATTTAAGGTTACAATGAGCTATGATCACACCTCTGTACCCCAGTCTGGGCAATAGTCTGAGACCCTGTCTCAAAAAAAAAAAAAATAGTATTACGAAAGGATAAATATGATTTAGCTTTCCTTTGTTTCTTCTTCTCAGATTCCCAGCTTTGGAAACTGATCAGACAACAAACACTTTCCTTTAAAAGTGGTAGAAGTGCAAAGAGGATGAGATGTGTTTGGCGTCAGCGACTCTTACATGGGAACAGAGGCAGGAGAGGGGCTGATGGAACAGCACCTCTATCTGTATGCTGGGCCCTGTTCTTTCAGACATGTGCCTTTCTTTTCACACTGAGAACAGATGGCAACCAGACATTGAGTGGAGGGGTCTGTTCCTTGTGATCCTTGGGGATTTTGCATTCAGTTTAGCAAAAGTCATCAAAACACAGAGAGAAATTAGCCTACAGCCTGTTCACAGTTATACAGGACTTGTTTGGCATTCATTGTACTGACAGATTTAAACGCTTTTGCAGATATTGAATTATAACAGCATTTATTTGGCAAGACAACGTTGTTACCACTTCTGAGGCATCTGCATTGGAGTCATTTTCTTCATTTTGGAGTACACTTAATGGTTCAATTTATTGTATATCAGTTAACTTGCAAAAAAACCCAATCATCTTATTAGAGAAACTGAGAAAAACAGAAAGGAGATTTTTTTCCTCAGCAAATTGTCATTTTCATTATGATGAAATGGGGCAACTTCTGTACTATTGTAATGACAACTCTGTGGATGTTTTTAGTAATGGTTTTTTTTTTTTTTTTTTTTTTTTTTTTTTTTTTTTTGGAGACGGAGTTTCGCTCTTGTTACCCAGGCTGGAGTGCAATGGCGCGATCTCGGCTCACCGCAACCTCCGCCTCCTGGGTTCAGGCAATTCTCCTGCCTCAGCCTCCTGAGTAGCTGGGATTACAGGCACATGCCACCATGCCCAGCTAATTTTTTGTAATTTTAGTAGAGACGGGGTTTCACCATGTTGACCAGGATGGTCTCGATCTGTTGACCTCGTGATCCACCCGCCTCGGCCTCCCAAAGTGCTGGGATTACAAGCGTGAGCCACCGCGCCCGGCTTTTAGTAATGGTTTATTCCCCTGTCTTTCTAAGCATTGTTTTAAGTAGGATTCTGCAGGCTGTTTCTTCTTCAGTTTGTATTTATGTCGTCTGATTTGTTAAATGTTTGCTGCTTCCTGGATGTGTTGAGTTGCAGGTGCAGGACTTTTTTTTTCCTAAAGAGATGTTTATGGGAACTTTTTTTTTTTAGTTTCAGAGTTAAGATCTAAAAAGAATTCAGAGAGCCGTAAGCAGAAGAGTAGGAAATAATCCGAATTTGAACTTCTTAACTTTAAAAGGCCTTCAAAAGAAATTGTTTAGGCTATAAATAACAAGTTACATGTGGAAAAAGAAATGGTAATTCTGGTGCAGATTCTATATTCATAATAAGAAATTTCAAGCAGTAACATAAGGCATTCTGATGGTTGGGTCTCACTTTCTGAGCAAATAAGACTCTTTGATTTAGTAGAATATGAGTTGAAATCATCCATTTTCCCACCCAAACCAGGAATCATGATTTTAAATTAAAATATTAGGAAAGTTTGAACTACTTACAAAAAAACACTTGTAGATATTCACTTTATTCTTGAACCCAAAATAATTTGGTCCAGTGTTTTTCAGACTATTTATTTATTTGAGACAGGGTCTCACTCTGTCACCCAGGCTGGAATCCAGTGGAGGTGTCATAGCTTACTAGAGTCTTGAACTCCTCTGAGGTTTAAGCAATCCTCTTGCCTCAGCCTCCCAAGTAGCTGGGACTATAAATGTACGCCACCTGGCTAACTTTTAAAAATTTTTATTTGCTGATTTGCCAGGCACAGTGACTCACGCCTATAATCTCAGTACTTTGGGAGATCGAAGCAGGCAGATCACTTGAGGTTGGGAGTTCAAGACCAGCCTGACCAACATGGAGAAACCCCATCTCTAGTAAAAATACAAAATTAGCCGGGCATGGTGGCACATGCCTGTAATCCCAGCTACTCAGGAGGCTGAGGCAGGAGAATCACTTGAACCCGGGAGGTGGAGGTTGCGGTGAGTCAAGATTGTGCCATTGTGCTCCAGCCTGGGCAACAAGAGCGAAACTCCATCTCAAAAAAAAAATTATTTGCTAATTTAAAAAAATATTTTATATATTTTTAGAGATGGAGTCTTGCTAAGTTCCTCTGGCTAGCCTCAAACACCTGGCCTCAAGTAATGCTTCTTCCTCAGCCACCATAGTAGATTGGTTTACAGGTGCAAGCCACTGTGCCAGGTCATTTTTTTTTTTTTTTCTGAGATAGCATCTTGCATTGTCACCCAGGCAGGAGTGTAGTGATGTGATCATAGCTCACTATAATCTTGAACTCCTGGGCTCATGCAATCTTCCTGCCTCGACATCCCAACCACTAGGATTATAGGTGTGAGCCACTATGCCCAGCCTAGACTTTTTTAAAGTAGCAGAATTGGTTTTCCAAGACAAAGCTTATCGAGGAGTCTAGAAAATAAAATTAGTAAAAGAGGAGCTGCCCTGGTTGATTCACTAAGGGGAATTCAGAACCTGCCTTTCATTGAGGCACCTCTGGGATTACAGGCATGTGCTGCTGTGCCCAGCCCTAAACTATGTTTCTTTATTTCTCCTTTTTTTTTTTTTGATGGGGGAGACGGAGTCTTGCTCTGTCTCCCAGGCTGGAGTGCAGTGGCACAATCTTGGCTTACTGCAATCTCCGCTCCTGGGTCCAAACAATTCTTCTGCCTCAGTCTCCTGAGCTGAGACTATAGGCATGTGCTACCACGCCTGGCTAATTTTTGTACTTTAGTAGAAATGGAGTTTCACTGTGTTGCCCAGGCTGGTCTCAAACTCCTGAGCTCAGGCAGTCTGCCTGCCTCGGCCTCCCAGAATGCTAGGATACAGGCGTGAGCCACTGCACCCAGCCTAAACTATATTTCTTTAATACTACTCAGTAATACAGATTCCTTAGTTACACAAATAGCCATTAGTAATTGTTAAATTTTATTTACATAACTACTGTAATCTGTTTCTTTGTTGGTAAAATGCTAATAATAACAGCTCTGCACTAGGTGCGGTGGCTCACGCCTGTAATCCTAGCACTTTGGGAGGCCAAAGCAGGCAGATCGCTTGAGCCCAGGAGTTCGAGTCCAGCCTGGGAAACATAGAAAGACCATGTCTCTATTAAAAATAGAAATAAAAATTAGCCTGGTGTGGTAGTGCACGCCTGTAGTCCAGGATACTAGGGAGGCTGAGGTGGAAGGATTACTTCAGCCCAGGAAGTTGAGGCCACAGTAGCCATGATCATGCCACTACATTCCGGTCTGGGTGACAGAGCAAGACCCTGTCTAAAAAAAAAATATATATATATATATATATATATATATATATATATATGGAGGCCGAGATGGGTGGATCACTTGAGCCCAGGAGTTCGAGACTAGCCTGGGCAACATAGGGAGACCCCGTCTCTACAAAAGAATGTAAAAATTAGCCAGGTGTGGTGACACTTATATTACTTGGGAGGCTGAGGCAGGAGAAATCACTTGGGCCTGGAGGGTCGAGGCTGCAGTGAGCTGTGACCACACCATTGCATTCCAGCCTGGGTGACAGGGTGAGACCCTGTCTGAAAAAAAAAATTATGATCAGAAAGCCAACCAATATGAGAAAACCTTTTCTTCATTGATTTATTCTTTTATTTGTTAAACAATTATTAAATGCCTACTGTGTGTCAGACCCTGGTAATAGGCCTTACTTTTCTCATCTATAAAAATAGAGGCCAATAATGTTAATAATAACAATGCCATTCTGTCATTCTTATGATATTCTTGTAAGATTGAATGGGTACCTTGTACGTACCTGAGGTTATATTGTAATTACTATAGAACGTTAAGTTCCCTAAGAATGAGGCATTGTATTATGTTCATCCTGTTGTTTCCTAGTACCATAGTAAAGTGGTTGTTCTTTACCATATTAAATCATCGACCTATGTGAAAATGCTTTTTTAAACTACAAAAAGATGTATAAATATAAGATCATATATTCCATAGTCATAGAAATAGACAATGTGGTGGTTTTCAGACTGTTTCTTAGAACCTAGGGTTCCAGAGGTGTCTCAGGGACAGCCCATACAGTTCCTGAGGTACACAAGGGAGAGGTAGAGATTCCAGACCCTATACCAGCATAATCAATTAGAACAACCCTATTTATTTTACTTGTTTTGCTATGAAAAATGTTGGAAGAGTATTGTCTGATTTGTGTGTTTTCAATCCATCATAATTTTGTCCTGTGATGATTTGTATAATCCATTGTCCTTTATGATATTGACTTTTCCCATCTCCATTTAACAGACAGATGTGCTGGTCCTGAGCTGTGATCTGATAACAGATGTTGCCTTACATGAGGTTGTGGACCTGTTTAGAGCTTACGATGCATCACTTGCTATGTTGATGAGAAAAGGCCAAGATAGCACAGAACCTGTTCCCGGTCAAAAGGGGAAAAAAAAAGCAGGTAAGGAAGACTGGAGTTTGTTTTGTTCATTGGGTTTTCATAATTATTATTGTCACTCATGTTTTCCCTGAAAAAACATTTAAGAATCTACTATACACCACAGATAGTGTGCTAGGAGTTGGTGACATAAAGTCAAATAAGATACAGTCCCTGAGTGGAAAATACTTATACCGATTGATTAGATTCTTTAATGTCCTTTTATATGCAGAGAGGAGCATTCAGAACTATTTGCATTGTATTTAAGGCTCAAATAATTGAATGAGTATAAGAAACAAACAAAAAAAATCTAATTTAAAATTAACTTTTAAAAACAGACCAGGCTCGGTGACTCACGCCTGTGATCCCAGCACTTTGGGAGGCCAAGACAGGCAGATTACCTGAGATCAAAAGTTTGAGACTAGCCTGGCCAACATGCCGAAAGCCTGTCTCTACTAAAAATAGAAAAATTAGCCAGGTGTGATGGCAGCATCTAAAAAAAATAAAATAAAGTTAAATAAATAAATAAACTTCAATTACAGATTTAATTAGATACCTTTAAAGAATTAAAGTTACAGCTGGGCGCAGTGGCTCACACCTGTAATCTCAGGACTTTGGGAGGCCAGATCATGAGGTCAGGAGTTTGAGACCAGCCTGGCCAACATGGTGAAACCCCGTCTCTACTAAAAATACAAAAATTAGCCAGGCATGGTGGCAACACGTGTAATCCCAGCCACTTGGCAGGCTGAGGCAGGAGAATTGCTTGAACCCAGGAGGCAGAAGTTGCAGTGAGCCAAAATTGTGCCAACTGTGCTCCAGCCTAGGCGACAGAGCAAGATTTCTTCTTGGGAAAAAAAAAGGAATTACTATCACAAATTTAGTATGGCTGGTTCTTTTGAATGCTTCAGTCACCCTAAATGACCAATAAATGTGATAGTTGTTAATCGTGCTTATCTTCCTAGGATTATAACATTCTTATTTTGATGCTTATTTTCCTAGGATTCTGGTAGTCCTTTCATGGATTTTAGTTTTTCCTGAATGATGTATTTTTTTTTCCTTGAAGTTGTCCTCTGGAATGATGTATTCTTTAAGTTTTGCTTTGCCAGCATTATGTAACCCATTATCTTGTCATTATTACATACTGGCATATTCTGTTACAATTATTAGACTATGTATAGCATATTAATATCTTGCTATTATTAATAGAGCCATTTAGAGCCTTCATACTTAGGATTCGAATAATTAATATTTTTAGCTCTCCTCTTTAGAACATTTGGTTAAATTATAATTTTCCAGTATAGCATTGAAACTTGTTTCTAGTTGCTTTTTGTGGTTCAGATGATCACTGGTGCAGATTAATTGTGGGATATTTTTTCTACATTATCATTATGTAATGATACTCATGCTGATCAATCTTTCTGTTCTTTATATAGTTTCTGCTTTTGAAAGGTCTGGTTTACTTACAATTCCCTATATTAGTTCTTTTCTGCCTACACAGGTAGAAACAAATATATATCCAGATTTTATAAACAGATATATGGTTTTTTTTTTTTTTTTTTTTTTTTTTTTTTTTTTTTTTTTTTTTTTTTGA